AAGCTCTGGGGACCAGCAGTTGGCGTAATGGCTATGTCGCTGGACTCCCACGTAGTCGACCGCGGTTCGCGTCTCGGACCTGGTGGCTTAAAACTCACGCCAGGTGCATGTGCGTGCATGCCCAAGATCCCGAGAGGAGAATGGAGAAGGGATTGCGGCGTGACCATCCCCCCTGGGGGGTGATTTCTCACTTTCTATCTCTCTGTCTCTCTCTGACTGTCTGGCGAGCGCACGCGCCCTATAGCAAAAACCTCTCCAAAAAAAAGAAAAAAAAAAGCTCTCAGGTGGCCCATACCAATTCAAGCTTTAAAAACTGACTTAAACAAAACTGCCATGTCCCCTTTGTGCACTAGACTTCATGAAAGTAAACCACAGAAACAACATACAAAGAAGTTTGCAGACTATAGTTTAATAACTAGACGACAATAGCTAGAAACTGGAGGTTTGGCCCAGCCCGTGGCCTGGTGGTTAAGAGACTGGATCCCACATCATCGACCACGAGGTTTGAGTACTGGACCCAGCATCTTGAGAAACATGCTGGACACATGTGCACGCATGCCCAAACTCCCGAGAGGAGAGAGAAATGGAGGAAAAGGGGCTGTGGCATGGCTGTGCCCAATGGGGATTGTTTTCTCGCTCGCTCTCACTCTTTCTCCAGCAAGTACATGTGCCCTCTGACAAATTAAAAATTAATCAATTCATAAATAGACGTAAAACCTGGGGGTTTGCCTCTTCTCCCAGGAGAGAGATACCCACTTACGAGTGTTTTGGGAAAATGGGCGGCTGGCTTTTCAATTCGACTTAGTATTAATTGAGTGCTTACTTTCAATTTTCATTATCTTCTCATAGGCAGAGTTATTTGACATGAAACCCCAAGAGTAATACGTATTCGACATGTTATTTCTATTGCACATAAATACTGAATGCTACCACTTGTACGAGGTATCTAACGTAGTCAAATTCACAGACATGCCAAATAGAATGGTGGGGCCAAGGCCTGGGGGCAGGTGGGGAGTTAGTCAAGGGGCACGATGATGAATTCTGGAGCTTGGTGGCACAACCTGAGTAGATTTAACATGACAGGTACTCCTTGTTTACTGGCCAAGTTCCACTGCTACGACTAGGTGGTTAAGCGAACTGGTCACTACGCGAGGAACTTAAAGGCGAAGTCCTGCGGTGTGCTGTGGCTCCATAGGTTATGTGTTGTCAACAGCTACCAAGTGACGCAGCACTAGAATAATGTAAGCGTATCCATACAAAAAGCAGCAGGAAGCAACAAGACACACCATAACACAATAATATAAATCTAGTGTAAGGGACCACCAGATCGCAGAGTGATTATGTCACTAGACTCCCACATGGCTGACCACGGTTTGAGTCCTGGACCCGGAGGCTTGAAATTCATGCTTGGCGCATCAAGACACACCATAACACAATAATATAAATCTAGTGTAAGGGACCACCAGATCGCAGAGTGATTATGTCACTAGACTCCCACATGGCTGACCACGGTTTGAGTCCTGGACCCGGAGGCTTGAAATTCATGCTTGGCGCATGTGCGTGGGCACCCACAATCCCAAGAGGAGAATGGAAGAGAAGAAATTGTAGCGTGGCCAACCCCCCTGGGGGGTGATTTCTCATTTTCTCTCTTTCTCTGGCAAGTGCACGTGCCCTGTAGTACAAATCTTAAAATAAAAATCTAGTGTAATCATTTTTATTTATGCTAATACTATTACAGGCGCACAATAAAGTACAATTTGACAAATGAAATATATAGTCTTGCATGCCTGAGAACACTTTCTATAATGAAAACTAACCAACTATGGAAACTAAAGACAGAGAAGGGGGATTCCCAGCCCCAGAGAACTAGTCTTAAGTCTGAGTGATGCTTAAACAGGTAGGTCATTAAGTGAGGTAGCTGTACTGAACTATACATTTAAAACGGTTTAAATAATTTAAAAATAATAATTTTATGTTGTGTGTTTTTTAAGGAATTATTTGTTAAACTTTATTTATCATTATTACTATTATTTGTTTTGCTACAGGGTATGCACCGTCACCAGAGGGAGAAAGAAAGAGAGGGAAAGGGAAAGTGAGAAAGCAAGCCACCAGGTCCCCAGACCTCGAACCATGGTTGCCCATGTGGGAGTCCAATGCCCCAACCATCATGCCACTTACGGGTCCCTATGGTATGTGTTTTTAAAACATTTTAAAAGTGTTTTAAGAAGTGACTCAGGAGGCTGGACAGTGGCGTAGCAGTAAGACTGAAAAGTAAGAGTTTATACATTGAAATGGTCTCCTGAGTGGTATTAGAAGAATGAGACAAAGAGAAAAACAAAAAAAAACACCAAAACCTGTATTAAAGCACTTCTTGAGCAAGGAAAAGCAGGTGGTGTGGTGGTTAAGATGCTGGACGGTTCCACATGGCCGACGAGAGTTTGAGTCCTGGATCTGGTGGCTTGCTTTCTCTCATTCTCTTTCTCTCTGTGTGTCTCTCTCTGGTCAAATTAAAATAAATGAATGAATAAATAAAATTAAAAATAATTATTTTTTTTAAAAAGCACTTCTTAAAATGTCAAATAAAGACAAAGATCTCAAAAGCTACTTTAGAAGAAAAGTTTAGTTATATAAAAAAATACCAGCATTCAAAACATCATTGGATTCACAACATCAACATTAAAAGCTAAAAGGTTAAACAATAGTTCCTTCAAAACTCTAAGGGAAGTTATTTCCATACAGAATTCTATCTTTCCAGGCAAACTATCTTAATAAGAAATAAGAGAAATATGGAGTCAGCAGGTGGCATAGTGGTTAAGGCACCAGATTCCCACACGGTGAACCATGGTCGAGTCTCGGACCCAGCTGCTTGAAACTCACTCTGGACACCTGAGTGTGTTTGTATGTGTGTGTGTGTGTCCAAAATCCTGAGAGGAGAATGGAGGAGAAGTAACTGTGTCCTAGCCATCCCCCCGGGGGGTGATTTCTCACTCTCTGTCTCTCTGTCTTGCTGGCAAACACACGCATCCTACAGCAAAAATTTCTCAAAGAAAAACAAAAAAGAGACCAGCAGATGGCATAATGTTTACGTTACTGGACTCCCACATAGTCAACTCCCATTTGAGTTCCAGACCTACTGGCTTAAAACTCGTATCAGGGACTTGTACATGCATTTCCAAAATCCCAAGAGGAGAATGAAGGGGAAGGGATTGTAGCATGGTCATCCCCCTGGGGATGATTTCTCACTTTCTGTCTCTCTATTTCTCTCTCTGTCTCTCCAGCAATCACATATGCCCTATAGCAAAAGTCTCTCTCTCTCTCTAAAAAAAAAGAGTAAGTTATTTTCAAATGTGGTAAGCATCAAAAACTTTTCATGTCCACTTTACCAGGAAGTTAATAGATGACGTAGGCTGAGAAAATGAGGGCACTGGCCAAGATAAGGAAAAATGGGATCCAGATTAACAGGCACCAGGTCTAGGATCTGTCCATTAATCATCAAAAGCAGAGGGTTTTAGGAGGAATATTTCTTTATTATAACCATTATTATTATTATTTTATACATTCAAATGCTACTCATTTAGATTGTAGAAAGAATTTAACCATGAAATACACCTCAGACTAGTCCAGTTGAGAATACTGTCCATGTTATCAGCAGGTAATTTCTGAGTCCCGCAGATGTCTTACCTCTCCATTTCCCCACCTACACTCTTCCCCCAACTGCCCTCCTGCTACACTGTCTCCAGTGTCTATAACTATTTTCAGTGCTTTCATGTCCTCCAATATTTCAGTCTCTACTGTAGGATGCAGTCAGTATATGTTAAGTGGAGACATACAATGTAGGAGGAATATTTCAATGAAAAAGAAGGGAGAGAATGGTTTCTAATTCATCTGGCCTTATGACAAGGAGTTTCAAAGCTCTGCAAGAATTCACAAATCAATTAGTGAATTCAATAAAATACAATAAAAACCACAAGCCTTAAAATGCAATAATAACTAAAATCTACTAGAGATAATAAACAAGTTTGGCAAAGCTGCAGGATCAATGTACAAAAATCAGTACATTCTATTCCCTAGAAGAGAAAAACATGAAAATGAAATAAAATAACTCTATTTATATTATTATTTTTAAAAACTAAAGTAAGTTTAACAAAGGAGTATATGGGACCAGCAGTTAGTGTAATGGCTATGTCGCTGGACTCCCATATAGTTGACCTGGTGGCTTAAAACTCACGCCGGGCGCGTATGCGTGCGTGCCCAAGATCCCGAGAGGAGAATGGAGGAGAAGGGATTGCTGCGTGGCCATTCCCCCTGGGGGGTGATTTCTAGCTTTCTGTCTTTCTGTCTCTCTCTGTCTGGTGAGCGCACGCGCCCTGTAGCAAAAACCTCTCCAAAAAAAAGAAAAAGAAGAAAGGTAGGGGCCCAGCAGGTGGTGTAGTGGTTAAGGTGCTAGACTCCCACATGGCTGACCATGGTTTGAGTTCTGGACCTGGCAGCTTGCTTTTTCACTTTCCCTTTTAAGGGACCAGCAGGTGCCCTGGTTGCTTGACACTCCCACATGGCTAGCCATGGTTCAAGTCCCAGACCTGGTGGCTTGCTTTCTTGCTCTCTCTCTCTCTCTCTCTCGTCAAATTAAAATAAATAGATGAATAAATAAAATTAATTTTTTTTCAAAAAAGAAGAAAGGTAGGGATTCACCTGAAAGAAAAGATTTGATCAAAGTCACAAAGTGAGAAATATATTGGGCTTGCTCATGACACTGGGACAAGTTGGTCCCCTTGCACCTTGGCTGTCACTTGGGTGCCCTGGGCCAGAGAGTTTCTAAATAAATGAGTCTTTATTGTAGATTATGGTTAAGCAATAGCTTTACCACTGATTGGGAGCCACCTTGTTCTTGGGACCTTCTTCCAATAGTTGATTTGCATCGTCCTGGACATCTGCAACTGTAAGCCTCAATTTCTTCTCCTGTAAAACAAAAGTTATAATAATAGCATAGATTGCAGAGGATTTTGTGATGATTAAATGAGATTATGTATATCAGACGTTTCTGAGAGTGTCTGGCACACACCAAGAACTAATGCTCCGTTCTAATGTCGTCGTGTTCCACCCCGGTGTCCTCGTGCTCCCTCCCGGTGTCCTTGCGTTCCATTCCGGTGTCCTCGCGTTCCCTCGTGGTGTCCTTGCGTTCCCTCGCGGTGTCCTCGCGTTCCCTCACGGTGTCCTCGTGTTCCGTCCCGGTGTCCTCGTGTTCCCTCCCGGTGTCCTTGCGTTCCCTCGTGGTGTCCTCGCGTTGCCTCCCGGTGTCCTCTTCCAGTGTCCTTGCGTTCCCTCGCGGTGTCCTCGCGTTCCCTCGCGGTGTCCTCGTGTTCCGTCCCGGTGTCCTCGTGTTCCCTCCCAGTGTCCTCGCGTTCCCTCCCGGTGTCCTCGCGTTGCCTCCCGGTGTCCTCTTCCGGTGTCCTTGCGTTCCCTCCCGGTGTCCTCGCGTTCCCTCCCGGTGTCCTCGTGTTCCGTCCCGGTGCCCTCGTGTTCCGTTCTGGTGTCCTCATGACCAACACCGCCACCTCCACCAGGACTCCTAGGTAACTCACCTCCTCTGACATTTTCTGCTATTAGGATGATGCTCAAGGGAAGATTTAGAAATAACTGCTGGGGAGCAGGAATTGGGGTTTCTCTTTGCCATGGGCTCATCCCTTTGTACTCAGGGCCTTCCTAGAGTCCCAAGGCAAAAGAGAAGAAAGACCAATTTGGGGTGCAGGATCTCGGATCCAGCCAGTGCCGTATGGTAGGTCCTTCCTGGCTTTCCCCACGACCCCCCACACTTAGCCCCCTATTGTCTGCACACAGCCATGCACCCCTCACTATGCAGTGAGTTCTCGCAAGCCTGCCCATGGGATCTTCGTTCCCACCTTAGGGATGTTGGGCCTAAGTCGTCTCCCTCAGTGAATTCCTTACTGGCAAATTATAACGGAAATGATGCACCTGACTGAACGTACGCAGTTGTTGGTGGGTGTAGATGCTCCCAACATATTCCTAACTTGGTATTATCTCCCCTAAGCCTGCACCAGAACATCGAGACTCAGGAGACAGCCTGAGAGTCAAAGGTCTCTGTAAACTATACGCTGCTTGTACACGCGGGCAAAGGTGAAGGGCATGCAGAAGAAGCAAGAGAGTTGCAAGAGCAGTGTTGAAGAATCACAGGAAAGGACATCGGTGCAGAGAGGTATGAAATACGCACTTCCTCTGCTCCCTAAACCGGACGCTCAGTGTAGCTCGTTCCTGTTGCATTTCGTACGTGCTCCCGTGGAAGCCTTCCCATGGCAGTCTGGAGCAGCCGCCTTACGGAGAAGGACGGGAGGCGTACTGCCTGCACCATCTGCCTGTGCGTGAGCAAGCCACAGCGCTGGGCTGGCAGAGCTCATCTGCCGGGAGGACGCACCCTCCTCCAGCTCCCAATGTTCAAAGCCAGGAATGGAAACACAGAAAGGCTCAGGTTTTACCCAAACGAAGAAGAGGTGTAGAAATACACACTCCCCCGTGGTTTCATCTTCAGTAGGGGAAATGACAGTGGAAAGACAGAGAATGCCCCTGGGTAAGAAAAACGTTTAGAAGACCTGAAGTAGAGCTGTATGTTCCAAGTGGAGAGTCCACTTGTCCCTCTTAGTTCCTTTTTTTTTTTTTTTTTTTTTTTTTTTGAGAAAGAGGTTTTTGCTAAAGGGCGCATGCTATCACCAGAAAGAGACAGAGAGACAGAAAGAGAGAAATCACCCCCCCAGGGGGGATGGCCACGCCGCAATCCCTTCTCCTCCATTCTCCTCTTGGAATCTTGGGCACACACTCACACGTGCCCAGCGTGAGTTTAAGCCACCCGGTCCAGGACTCGAACTGCAGTTGACTACATGGGAGTCCGGTGACGTAACCGTTACACCATCTGCTGGTACCTCTCTTGATTCCTGATACGTGTGACTGACACGCTCCATTTCCCTACTGCAGAGACTCTAAGTTAGAACTTTCCCCGCCATCCTGAAACCAGGCTGTGGATGTGACTTACGTTCTGCTGAGCTTCTGCATTTGTACAAGCCTGGAATTGGCAGCTAAGGGATATGGGGAGAGAGGAGACCACGTGACATCCAATTTCTTGAGATGCGTGGTCTGAAGCCAGTGGGTGTGGCCGCCACCTACAGTTTCCACAGGCTGCATGCTCACCATGACAGGCAACAGCTCGTGTGGTAGCCCATTCACGTGGGGTGGCTTCGGGAGTGCTTCCTGGAAACACAGCCTAGAATCCATTGCTCTGTTTCATAAGCCATTTAATACCTGTAACAAATCCCTTCCTACCTAATCTGGCCGTAACGAATCCTAGTTTCTATCAAAGAACCCTGCCCAGTACCCTGAAATTGCAGAAGATGGTGGCCGCCCCTGCAGGAGTGGGAGAGGTCATCGCATGCCTCATGGCACGGGTTTGTGCTCATTCTCCCAACTCGTTTAACTCTCTCCAACTAGGAAGAGCTGGCGCCACTCCACAAGGCTGCTGGGGTAAAGGAAAGTATGATCGGAGGGTGGAAAGTAACCACTGTCGTTTGTTTTAAGAACACCCACATAAGCTTTGGAATAAGAGGTGGAAATATTTAGCGGATCTCCACACAGTCTAACGTCAGGTTTCTCACAAGTCTGATGGACTGTTCCCTGCTTCGTCCAGCCACCCTGGTCACCTCTCCTTCAGATTCACCACACCCTCCTGGGCCTCAGAATCTCAGCCTGAACAATTCAGTTGCGGATTCCTGCTTGCTTTTGTTTCTTTTTATGATAGAGAACACATGCCTACCCACAACAGGGAGAGACAGGGACCCCATCAGGAGCTCGTCCTACCATGATTCCCTTCTGCCTGTCCTCCAGCAGCTTACACGTCTCAGCCTATTCTCAGGCCAACCCAGGACTCCAAACCCTAGGCCAGCCATGTGGATTCCAGTCTAGCAGGGCACTCACATCACTGCTGTGCAAAAGCAACTGGGCCTCTTTCTTGTTAAACCAACCTTCCCATCAAATGGCAGCCCTCCAGATGTCGGCATTTTGTACTCTCTTGACATTTTCTACTCGATATGAATCTAAGCCAGGATTAAACAATGATGCATAGGAGTTAAAAATAGATGTCCGCCTTGCCAGACAGGAAAGGCTGTGAGAGCAGAGACTTCGTCTTGTACGCTAGGATATCCCCAGTGTGAGCCGAGCTTTGCATGTGGTCTACATGCACTAACTACAACTTCACTTTTAAAAAATGATTTATTTTATTTTGTTTATTAAGTTTGCTAGAGGGCAAAGCACTCACCAGAGAGAGACAGAGAGAAAGAGGGAATGTGAGAAAGCAAGCCACCAGGTCTGGGACTTGAACCATGGTCGGCAGTGTGGGAGTCCAGCACCTCAACCACCACACCACCTGCCGGCCCCTGACTAAGTACTACTTCAGTGGATGCACTCCATCTCCCTGCCCCAACCTTGTTGCCTCTGTCAGAGTGACGATGCATCACTGTGGGAACATTCCTTTAGCCAAAGCAAGACACAAGGCCACCTAAATTCAGAAGGACGACCCAGGCTGAGGAGGAGAGCTATAAATACCGGCGTGTAATAGTAGTATCTGCAGCAGCCTCCTACTTGAGACATTGACCTAAACCTCAAGGCTGGGCTAGGAGGCCATCCTGATTATTCTCTGATGACTCGCATTTTCCCTCCTCGAGCAAGGATGCTGCTTTCTCTGCTCCGTGGCATGTTTCCCCACGTCACGTGTACTGTCACGTTCTCACTGGCTAAGTGCATTCTTATCTTGGCAGTCCTAAGCTCGGGGCTTTACCAGAACCGTCCCTGTGAACATGAGCATTAGGTCAATAGCAGGATCTGCTGACCCCAGCAGGCCAGTCATCCATTCGTTGCCTCCATGAGGACAAGCAGATTAGTCCCTTTGTCACACGGGAGCTGCGATCGCTGTTGCCCTCATTCATTTGCCTTGAAATGCAGTTGCTCTTGGGGCTTTGCAGAACAGGGCCTCACCCACAGTTACGCACTCATCGGCTTTCTGGTACCTACGATTCCTTTACCCAGTGCTGATGGGTGCAAAGAAATGCAACTGGAGGCTCTTGTCCTCCAGCCGAGGAAACGAGATGTAAATCCCCCGAATATTACCTAAATTTATGTTCATCTATCTGGAAAAAATTATATATATATATATATATATGTTGTATGTATATGTATGGCTTTTTCTTTGAGAAAGCCAAAATTACAAAGGACTTTAGAGCTGGTATCAGGGCCTTTCTTCCTGCCAAAGGCGGGCACGACACGGGTGGACTCTGGCCAGACTACTTTCGCCGCCTGGCCCAGCCTGCCTTCTTCCCCTCCTCCTGTCTGGCCACCTTGGCTTTCCTAGCACTGGCCAGGAATCTTGGCCTTCACCTCCACGTATGCGGCCTGCTACTTCCAGAGTAGTCAGGGCCTCTGCCCACACTGGCCCTGCGTCTCCTCATCCTCCAGGGGCCTGCCTGCCGGGGCACGGCCTCATCTTACGAGCAGTGCCCTCCAGTGAGGCTACATGGGCTTCGATCTGGGTGACTGTCTCCTGGCTGGCCATCTCGAGGCATGTAGCTCTTGGGCACAAATGAAAACCTGCCTCTTGGGGACTGAGGAAAACAGACCTGAACCATACAGCACAGGCTGCTGCTTTCGTGACGATGGAGTCGCACTACGATCGCACTTTTAAGACCAGTAATTGGTGTAATGGCCATGTCGCTGGACTCCCACGTAGTCGAATGCAGTTCGAGTCCCAGACCTGGTGGCTTAAAACTCACACCGGGCGTGTGTGCATGCATGTCCAAGATCCCAAGAGGAGAATGGAGGAAAAGGGATTGTGACATGGTCATCCCCCATTGGAGGTTTTAAGCCACCGGGTCTGGGACGCGAACCGCGGTCGACTACATGGGAGTCCAGCACCATAGCCATTATGCTAACTGCTGGTTCCCTACAATCGCACTTTTAAGACCAGTAATTGGTATAATGGCCATGTCGCTGGACTCCCACGTAGTCGAATGCAGTTCGAGTCCCAGACCTGGTGGCTTAAAACTCACACCGGGCGTGTGTGCATGCATGTCCAAGATCCCAAGAGGAGAATGGAGGAAAAGGGATTGTGACATGGTCATCCCCCCCGGGGGGGGATTTCTCGCTTTCTGTTTCTCTGTCTCTGTCTGTCTGACATGTGCATGTGCCCTATGGCAAAAACCTCTCCAAAACAAATGAACAAACAAACAGAAAACAAAAACCTTTGCATCTCACTGGTGTAAGGGAAATAGCAATGGCTTTAAACCAAGACAGTCCTGCCGATTACGAGCCACCTCTCCACAGGCGCCTCACTGTGCACACAAACCACGCACTCCAATCAAGCTGGTTCTCATCTCTTACATAAGGGGAACAAAAAGATTATTTTAACAAATAAATATTAACCTTCTCAACAAAACAATTAAAAGAAAAATTCCCCAACTGAGCAATTGCAACCGTCTGAGTGTTTCTGTCTCCCCCAAGCTTGTATGTTGAAATCCTAACCTCTAAAGCAGTAGGGGCTCTGGGATGTGGTCAGGTCGAGAGGTCACGGGCTTTGTCCCTAATAAAAGTGGCTCCAGAGAAGTCATTTGCCCCAGCCTCCATGGGAGGAAATGGCTGGCCAGCTCTGTGTACAAGGACCAGAGTCCCCACCACACACGAATCGGCTGGAGGTTTGATCTTGGACTTAGAGTCTCCAGAGCTGTGAGAGTA